AGAATATTGTATACATAATAAATAAATATTTAAAAAACCAAAAATAAATAAATAAAAGAAAAAATTAAAAATAAATTAAAAAAATTACTGGTGAATTTAAGGTCAGCATGAGACCCTGTCCCAGAAAACAACTGACAAAATACAGAAGGGAAAGAGACAGAGATGGTGTGTGTGTGTGTGTGTGTGTGTGTGTGAATGGAGAAGAGAGGTCAGACCATAGCCAGGCAACAGCGAACACAACAGCTGAGGCCTCCTTCCATCTGAAGCAAGCCGAGGACAGAAGGTGTGGGATATCCACAGGGACTGTGCCCTAAGGATCGGCCAGACCTCGGCCTCTGCTGTTTGCTACAGTATTTACAGACCCATCACTAAAGTTTATACACACCTCACCTCCAGCGTCCAGGCAAAGGAATAAAATCTTCACACGAGCAAGATCTCTAGCTCCCTAGCCGTATGTAAGCCTTCTGCGTTTAAGGAGCACTACCCTGAAATCCTTTTATTATTTTTTTACTATTATTATTTATGAATTCGACACTTATGGAATACCTTCTTAGCAAAGACTTACTGTGTCCCTGGAAGTATAATTCTTTTTCCTTAATTATTTAAACTCTTAAATAGCTGTTCATACACGTCGTTTTGGGGTTGAAACAGGGAGGAGAAATAGCAGCTATCTCAGAGAAATGTCTTATGCTAAGTGAAGAATACTTGTGCCTCTATGGGCTGGGGTGGGGTGGGTGAGGGGGGGTGGGGGGTGGTCTCAGCAAGCAGGTGAAAAGCCCTGACGCTAAACCTAGAGCAGCCTGGATGGCAGGAGGTGGGGGCGGGGGAAGAAACGGGGCTCCAAGCCCACATTGGTTGGCCGGGTTCCCCCCTCTCCGCCGTCGCCGCTCCTTGCAGGTTCTGGCGGGCAGTCAGGAGGAGGCACACCCGGGCGCGCGCGCGCGCGCACTTGCGGCTTCGCTCCCACCCACCCACCCCGAAGCCCCCCGGATGGAGCCTCTCTGAGAACTGCGCTTAGGTCTACCTACAACCTTCTTCGGCGGTCTTCCCGACGGTTCCCGCCTCAGCCCCGCCCCCATGGACTCGCCAATCGCTGTGCTCTTGGAGCAGAAGTGGGTGGAGTCTAGGAAATTCGAAAGAAGCTCCGCCCCTCGGGAGCCTATTCCCGGGAACTGGGAGGTTGTAGAAGAAAAGCATCCTGCGTGGACGGTGAGGCAGGGTGGGAAGTGTAAACGGAGTGTACGCCGGAGGTGTGGCGGGGATGTGGTGCCGGGAAGTGGAAAGGTGGCGAGGGAAGTGGCTGGGGGGGGGGGGAATCCCGGATGATACCAAGGGGGAGGAGAAATGTGCAGAGGAGAGGCAGATTCACAATCAATCAGGTGTTGGGGCCCGAGATCTCTGCACCTTTCCCGAAAACAACGGGCTAGTTTCAGGGGCACGTGCTGTTTCTTGGATCTTAGTTTACCACCACCATGCCTCCCCACCCCAGATAGTGCACCCTGAGTCTAGATGGGGGCGTAGGGCAGGATGATAGACACCCGAGGTAGGCTTGTTGTCTTTCCTGCT